GCCCGGGCATTTCATCGAACACCTCATGTGCATAGGAGGTGAGCTAGAGCACCCAAATGCCCTCCCCTCGCCGGCCAAAAAACAGAGCAGTGTGGACTGCTCTGCTCGCCGGCGAGGGGGTATATATATTTGTCCCGGTTTTTGACAAGAACCGGGACTAAAGGCCCCCCCTTTGTATTGGTTCTAGGCATGAATCGGGACCAATGACTGTGGGCCAGGAGCGAGGCTCATTGGTCCCGATTCGTGCCTAGAACCGAGATAAATGAGTCCACATAAACTGGGACAAATGCCTCCCGAGGCCCGGCTAGGCCCCTGGGCATATGAACCGGTCCCGGTTCGTGACTGAACCGGGACTAATGGGCTTGCCAGGCTCGAACCAAAATCATGTTTTCTACTAGTGTTGGCTAGTTGTTTCCTGCGGTTAGTTTAATGAATTCCTCTTTTAGCTCTTGAGACATATTACGCTAGAATAATCACGGTCTGAATTTTGATGATAAGTATGTTGCTTTGCGCTCTACAACCGGTAACTGTGGCTGCTCCATCATTCGTATTTTGGAGGTGGAGCGTTATCATTTTGACCACTCATACATACATAAGTTATGCCCGCATCATTTTCACAAGTTTGCCGTCGTTCCATCGGTCGGTAGCTCGGGAGGTTTAGTAATAATTTTGAATAGAGTTTTTTTCTGCTATGGTTAATGATTCATCAGTGGGCTCAAGTTCTAAAATTTAGAACTTCTCTGTCTTCTGAACAGTGGATGATAGTAAATATTTATGGCCGATGTGATGGTGCAGTGAGAGATGATTCTTTTAGTTGGTTATATGGGCTTGATATTGCAGTAGATGGAAAATGGTTGCTATTAGGTGATTATAATTTCATTCGACCGCCATAGAATAGGAATCATGCGTCAGGTAATATTAACGATACGATCACTTTTAATGACATTATCGAGGCTCAATGTTTGGTCGAATTGTCGTTATCTAATGTGACACATACTAAATAAAGAAAGGTTCTTATATTCGAGAACTATAGGATTTTGCATCCAGGCTTTCAAAATACGGTAAATTATCTACAAATTCACGTTTGTTCCATAAAAAAAATCTTCAACGTGCGTTATGAAGATGGAGTAACTCTATTTGCAAGCTACTGTTTCTTATTGATAATCGCCACAAGGTTTTAAATTTCATGGATGTTTTAGACCATGATGGATATTCGTTGGAGTCTGAAGTGCTCTCGACCTGAGGCTGTTTAGAGTGAAAGCCAAAATTCACTGGATTTTTTTGAATGCTACACAATTACAACTTGGAACATTTAGAAAGAGAGAAATAATTTTATTTTCAACTAGGCTAGGCCTTCAAATAGAACATGGTTAGAAAGGGCAAAGGATGGCCTAACTTGGCTTATATATAGGGTCTCATCATATCTAAGTGATTATATCGCATATTTTGTTCTCTTTCTTTAAAACTTTAGTGCTATATTTATTGAATTTTTTGCTCTAGTATCCAACTCTTTCTAGTGGAATTTTCTCCCTCCATCTTATGAGCATATAACTAGTATTTTTAATATACTAAATAGGAGCGCCTCCTACTATTTAGATATTAGTTTTGTTAAATGTTTGTTACGTATTTGCAAAATATTGATCGTGTATTAAAAAATTCCATGTATTTGAAATTTTTTCATCCCATGATTAAAAAATATTCACCACATATTTCAAAAAATGCATCATGTATTTAAAGAATGCACATATTAAAAATGTTCATTCATGTATTTGAAAAATATCAATCGCATATCTAAATAAAATACTCATCTCGTATTTGAAAAACGATTCATCACATATTTAGAAAATCTTTGTCATATATTTACAGAGTGTACAAGTATAAAAGATGATAATCGTAGAAAGAAGGAATTTGAAAAGGGAGAAAGAAAAGAAAAGGGTAATTGAAAACCAGCAAAAAACCAAAAGAAAATGGGAAAGAAACAGAAAACCGCTGAAAACAACGAAAAGCCCGAGCAAAATCAGAAAACAAGCTAAATTATGCTCCGCTCACCCTTTTTGAACCTTGCACACCCCCCCCCCCCTCCTGCTTTCATTTTTTTCCCTACACATCTTAGTGATTTATGAAATAAAACTCTTTTTTGGGTAAGCCAACGAGTGCTTACCATTTATTGTTTACCAAAAAAATCCTTTTGACCCAATCACTTTAATATGAGCAGGTA